CACATAGGTCCTCACCTTCTCGTTCTCTCCTTGTTTCAAGAAGCTGACCTCACACATCAGCTTTTCATAACTTTCACTAAGAAGAAAGTTTTTGATCAAGTTCTCCGTCAATGTCTACCAAGTGTCGTCATTCAAATGCTCCCTCTTGTACTCTTTGTACCACTTGAGGGCAGAATACTCCAAAAAATCCGGCAAAAGCATAGTTCACTCGTCCTTCTTCCTCTCATTGTTTACTATGCAAGCTCTCTTGAAGTTCCTAACAAAAGCTTCTACATCGTCATTCTCCCTCCCATAAAATATCGGAAGCTTCTCCATATCCAACTTATTTTATTTTATTTTATTTTCTATTGGAAATTTATATGGTACTTCATAATACAATAAAAACAACACAAACTCCATCCTTGAGTAATTCATGAAAGGAAACACAAAAAAATTTGATTGCTCCAAGATAGCCAAAGCTCTCTTCTCCCCAAGCATACGATGAGTCTTACCCTCATCATCATCTTCTCCATCATCCCAATGATGATCTCCATCTTCAGTTGGAACTTGTACCCGCTTATGTCACTTTCTCCGTTTCAGCACTTAGCTTGCCGTCAAACCTTTCCACAAGTGATTCTCGAAGCGCCTTCACTCCGGTGCATTTGTGTCCCACCGATAGTTCAATCACTCCGCAATTGTCACAAAATGTTTCGCTTTGGGATTCATGTGGCGATGATGGTCCCAAGTGAAGTTTCAAATTTCCCAAGTTCCTATTTCTCAAAAATCTTCTATCCTTGTTTCGCAGGGAACAATTGACAACCTTATGTACCTACTCTCCACAATAAAATCAAGTCTCACCTTTGACTCTTGGGGATTGACTTACTATTCTTTCTTCGACCTCCACCTTGAATTCTCTTATATTGGAGTCTAAAGACACTATAACATCCAAGCCTTGAGATACTTTGGATAACCTAACCTTCCAACCCCCTTGTTCACTCATTTTTCCATAAGGTGGAAACCACTAAGAAGAACTCTCCCAGAAACGATATCTACTTAACAAAAACTGCAAATAAAGAAATCCAAAACTTTTGCTCTCGTATCTTGATTTTGTAACCCCTAAACTTCAAATCAACATAACTTTGTGTCTAAAAGTGATCTCACAGTTAAATTTTAACCCACACGTAGGTTATCTTCCAATACACACTTGTATGAAGTTTCAAAAGCTAAGTTCAAATACAGAAAGATTAATTTTACTATATACACACTTTCCCAAGAGCAAACTTTTGATACTCGTGAAAATCCCCTCAACTTCTAATACTCATATATTTCTGTTAAGACATGATCTGAAACTGAAAAATAAACTCAAATATTTTCTATCTTTCACTCTAAAATCAAAAAAAAAATTTGAAAAATGCTTTGAGAAATATTTTTTCGGTATCTAAGACCATTTTTCTCTCAAAATGACGTGCCTAAATGAACAAAACATACAAAATCATTTCAAGGCTATCATATGACAATACTGTATAGACAAATAAAATTTCACTCTCAAGCATAGTCTCCGCTCTTTCTTTCCCAGCATCAGCTTCAAGTGATTCCTCATTGACATTTTCTCTCGAGCTAAAAATCAAATACTTAACATTCCGCGTTCTAGATTGAGGTCCCGGCAACAAAACCAAAAATGCATGCTCCGGGCTGACTCTCACTCAGGTGTACCTCAGATGGCTTTGCGCTAGCGCATCATGGTTCTAGAAGACTAGGATTCATAATCACACTCATAGCTCAAACACTCACTCACACAATCACTCAAGGTAGCACTCCAACTCACAAACACATCGACACTCCAAGGTACTGAAAATCGTCAACCTTTCATATATGAAACAAGTCACTCCACATGAACTCTCTAAACTTGCTTGAAAGGTGCTACTCTAACTCTCTATTTATACTACTTGAGAAGTTACCATAGTAACATGTGGTAATTTCTCCTAACTTACTTTTACCTAGGTAAGTTTGACTAACGAACTATACGTGGCAACATGTCATTGGCATAGCTAAACCTTCTAGAGGTTTGCGGAATCCAAGGTTGAGGTGGCGACGTGCCATTGGAAACTTTTAAACTTCTACAAGTGAACATTAGACTTAGTATAGCCAATTATCTTTCATATATTTAGTCAAACCAATCAAATCCAAGTTTCTAGTTAAATATCTAATCCCTTGGATTCTAGATCTTTGGAAAAGACAAAATAGAAATGCTCACTCCTTTGTAAAAGATAAAAGAGAAGTGTTCACTCCACTGTTCTAGAACTCCGCTAATTTTTCCGCGAACTATAGACATTATAGCTAAAATTAGTCATGATTAGATAAACTTAGTTATAATTAACTAGTTTAGTCATAACTAGCTAGACTTAGATATGTCTTGGCTAATCATCATTAATCAACTGGCTACTTCTACAACTTAAAACACATGTGTAACATCCGATTTCACATTGAACACCGGACCAAAATTTCAGTACGCCCTCAGAGTGAAAGAATCTGATCTTCGATGGAATAACTTCAACTCGTTGTGATTGACTCGTTCGAAGTGACGTACTCCTAACTCCTTGATGTCATAAGTGAAATTTCCCCACAACTTCTCAACTATGAATGGGCCAAAAATTTTAGTAAGAAACTTTTTGTTTGCTCTCTTGTATCTAATTGCGTCAAAGAGCATCACTCAATCAACTTCCTTGAACGGCTTCAAGTTGTGATTCCACTTCGTTTGTGATGATAATTCTTTTGCAACTGTTGAGGTCTCAAAGCCCAAAGCTCAAGTTTCCTCAAACTCCATCAGCTGTTGCTGGCGAGACTTGACAGCTTCCATGTCATTCGCTTTCTTCATCTTCTGCTGAATTGTCGTGAATGTTGTCAAGTCAAACTGTATGGGAAATTTTGACTCAACTCTATACACCATACGAAAAGTTGAGTAACCGGTTGATGTCTTTCATGTTGTGCGATACTCCCACAAGATAGCATGAAGCCTCTTGTCCCAATTGTGTTTACTCCCGTCCATGTCTGCATCTTTGGCCAATATCATACACAGAGTGTAGTTGGTCCGCTCCGTCAATCCGTTAGCATTGGGTTTGTAGGAAGTGGTATCTCGAGCCTTCATGCAAAAGTGCTCCAACATGGCTTGAACTATAATTCTCACAAATTCTACTACTCTATCTTATATTGAAGTATGCGAATATTGAAAATTGCAGGTCATTAATATTGACAGATTCGTGCAAGAATTGACGACACATTGTTTCGATTTCGGAAGTGGAAGGGATGTCGAGCTGGTTATAGGAGTAACACGATCCAGAGAATTTGAGTAAAAACTCCATGTTCGATCTAGTGAAAAATTGCTAGAATGGATGCCCGACGACAGAATGCAGAATGTTTAGCCCATGTAGTCAATGGATCAAACCTGCAAGGAGGAAAAACTCCATGTTCGATCTAGTGAAAGATTGCTAGAATGGATGCCCGACGACAGAATGCAAAATGTTTAGCCCATGTAGTCAATGGATCAAACCTGCAAGGAGGACGACGTGGCTTCTTACGAGCAGATGAAAGATTTGGTGTAATTAATACGTGATGATTTCATGCGAGTCTCGTACTCTTAGCCATGGGGAGCATACATTCTCACATGCTCTCAAAGTCATTCAAGATATCTATGACTGCACGAACTTCTCAAGAGCTCGAATAGCTTATGCGGAGCTAGTAACTTGGATCCCTGCTAGTGCGTGCGTGCATTAACCAAAACAAAACTTAGCAGAGCATGGCTTCAATTGGGATTATGGAAGGCGGACTTACTACAAGTGAAATTTATTCGTCCTGCATATTATGGTGCATTGCATGAAGATGTGAAACCGCACGTCTTCTCGGCATCTCGATGGCGCATTAAGGTTCTTTCATTTGCCGCCGACGTGAAGACTGGTTGATTCTGATTTCACAGAATTCATTTGACGCTCAAACTGGTTTTCTTTCTCCTCATCATGTTGAACCGTTTCCTCTGAGGATGTCTCACTCGGATCCGTCTCTCCCAAAGAATCATCTTTAACTGCAAATTTATTGCAAGACTGAATGTTCATGACATCACGATAGCCCGCAGTTGATTCTGAGGGTGACGTCCAACGCATTGTGATGGCAATGCTCAGATCCCACGCTCGGTCTCTCTTCTTTCAATTGAAGAATCTGCTCTTCCGAGGTGCAGGTTGATATTGAACTCGTCCTCGTCGAAATAAAATTATACTAGTTCGTTCACAATTATATCATTTTTATTACTGAGTTGTTCAGTCTATTTTTTCATCTTTATCCAACATATCATTGGCCATGTATTGGACGAAGGCTTCCTTATCGATCGAAAGAATCACTTCCGAGAGACTTGCCTATGCTTCAATCACTTCCATTTAGTCCGAAAAATGGTTCCGAAGCACGTCTGCGATCACGTTCACTCTTACGAGTGAGGATCCGAGGAAAGGAAAGGTCATTCCCTTTCCTCGGATCCTACGAGACTGAGAGATGGATAATTCGTTCATGGCCTTGCCTCATTATGGCTCGCGGATACGTTCGAAATAAGAACGGTCCGACGAATGACGCAGACACCATCGTCATCAGCCACACCATGGTCACGAGGATCTCAGTAAGGAACGACAGAAGAGATGATTTTTTCATAATCGAAGTGGATGGTGCAATACAACGATCATGCAACTCAGTTGCCAACGGGAGCCGATCATGAGTCGAGCAGCTGCAGAGGGTCTCTCCAGAATCCACAGGTCGTGAGCATCCATCGAGCTATTTCCGGAGTGCAGAGCTTGATTCCGAGATGGGATGACAAGTGTCCGTTCGAGGTCCGGAACGATCCTTCTGATTTTCGAAATGCCGTGGAGTTGAGAATTTCGTTGCAGTCGGTCAGACTCGAATCAGTAGGAGCACAACGGGCGCCTCGTCAACGTTTGAATGGTCGGCGAGGTCCGCGCTGCCACTTCTGTTCATGTCTCTCGATCGTCGATGCGCACCTTCGTCGTCGTCGTGGTGTTGAGAGAATTTTCCTTCTCCCCGATTCTTCTCGAGCGAGCTCTGTCTGCTGGAGTATCATCTCCTCTGCTGCTGCTGCTGCTGCGATGAGCAGACTTCGCGAGGATCTGGGATTGATTACTTTCATGGCAATTGTGCTTGCGATTTGTGGACCCGAGGGTTGGGCGATTCCAGGGGTGCGTGGGCAACTCCAACCCGATGGCCGACAGCGCGGCCGGCCGGTTCCTGCGCTGTACATCTTCGGAGACTCGACTGCTGACAGCGGCAACAACAACGAAATGTTCACCATCGCTCGAGCCAATTTCCCTCCCTACGGTCGCGATTTCGACACTCGTCACGCGACGGGCAGGTTCAGCAACGGAAGGATGACTTCCGATTTCATCAGTAAGCTTCTCCCGTCTTGTGCATTACTGCTCCAGGTGCCGAAGCCCGAGCATCATGCAGCGACGTCCTCTCAGCACATTCATGGCTTGTAATAAACGGTCTCTGAACTCGATTGCGTCTTGTGCAGCGGACTTTCTGCGCGTCCCGATGGTGCCGCCGTATGTGAGCCTCGAAGCGCAAATGTACAGCTTCCAAGGGGCCAATTTTGCTTCGGCGGGAGCTGGAATCCTGAACCAGACAGGCAACATCCTGGTACACGATTCGCAAGCGACTGACTCATTGTGATGCATGCTGTAAGTCGAATGGTCGAGTCGAGTTGCTGAGTGATGTGATACGTGGGAGTGGCAGGGTGCGAAGATATCGCAGTGGCAGCAAATCGACCTCTTCTTGGAGAGGCGCAATTATCTGATTCAGATGATGGGAAATGAAGCTGCTGCTCGACATCTCAGACATGCGATTTACTACATAGCGACCGGAGGCAACGACTACATCCACAACTGGATCACCAACGACACGGATGCCGCGCTGCTGCCGCACGATCAGTTCAACAGCCTGCTTCTGGCGACCTTCGAGCAACAACTGAAGGTGAGAATCAGTGGATTCCGGTCCAAATGCCGAGCAATGTCGTCTTGCCGATGTCCGTAACGGGTGTCGATTGTCGATTGTCGATGATGATGTGCAGGTGCTGTACGGCGGCGGGGCGCGCAAGGTCGTGGTGCTCGGGATCGGGCCCGTGGGATGTGCGCCTCACTTTCTGTGGCTCAGCAATACGACCACCGCCGCGTGTATGGAGACTGTGAATCAGTACGTGTCCGAGTACAACGATGGGCTCAGAGCCATGCTCGCGCGCTTCAATCAGCAAAACCGTGGAGCTCACTTCGTCTACCGAGACATTTGGGACATCGTCTACCGCATGTCCAAGACTCCTCTTGAGTTCGGTGAGTCTCTTTCTTCGGATTCACTTCCTGCTGCTGTCTGAGATTTGGACTCTCTCTGACGGTGACGGTGACGGCGGCCTGGCAGGATTTCTGATCGGAACCACGGCATGCTGCGGAGTGGGCAATTACGGGGGCGGGGATCGGTGCCTGACGCCGCTCATGGTGTGTCGAAATCCTCCGGATTACGTGTGGTGGGATGAATACCACCCTTCGCATCGAGCCAACTTCCTCATCGCCCGCCAAATCTGGTCCGGAGTGGACCCTTCCACCACGACCAACACTTCGGCGGCGCCGTCCAACGTTACCTACTCCTTCCTCACCGTTCAGCAGCTCGTCAATGTCCAACTGGAATCAGATTGATCGGGGCAAGGACTCGATTCCGACCCGGCTTTTTCCACCTCAGAGTCTGCAGCGAATTCTTGTCACCCCATTAGGCACCCTCAGGACGCATTTGAGCCTGTTCCGAAGAGTTACTGCTTGCCGCATGGCTACTGAGAACTTTTAGAAGAATTTATAAAACCTTATAAATTCACCTTTCTATCTCCGTACAAAACATTTAGAATCGGGTGCTTTGCATTTGCATGGGGAACTGTAGGTTTGAGAGTTCAGTTGGTGACAAGTTAGTATTTGATTGTCCTTACTAGGAGATGTGAAGTTCACACCAGCTCATGATCACAAATCAGGTAAGAAAACTGTCGTAGGAATATCACGTAGAACCTAAGACGTCGAAGCGACAGAAACATGTGACAATATAGCGGGAGACATGTCGACAGTGACACAGGGCTACCTGTGTGTGCCTGGAATCAATGTACTGCAGCTGTGAAATATTCATGTCTCGAGGGAAGAACCCCTTTTCTTCATTCTCTTATCTGTCAAATTTTCTTCGTCGTGCGTTTTAGAAATTAGCCTCTATCTACTGGCGTGTGCACTGTACCAAGCCAGCTCTATATGCAACTGTTGCTCGAAAGTGAATGAGCCAATGATTCCCTCAGAACGTTCCAAGCACGGAATCCAGTTTAGATTGTGTTAGACGTATACATAGCATACAGCTCAGCGCCCATTCCCGAATCAGCAGACAGGGAGAGAGGGCAAATCATGGAGATTTGCCCTCTCTCCCTGTCTGTGGTGCGAGCGAATGCAATGGCAGCTGACGGATTCAATTAAGCAAGCAAGCAATTGCGAGAAGTGACATACATAGATTTCTCAACTCCTGCCTTGTAAAATGTCACATGAGTCATTTTACAAGGCAGGAGTTGAGAATTTAGGTAACACATGAGTCGTGTGAAAGATGAGAAAAACTAAATGGGAAGGGGTACACATTGAATCTAAATTCACGGTAATGCCCATGCAAGAATAACAAGAAGCAAAACTAGTCCCGCATGGTGTAGATAATGAGAAATATTTCTTACCATATGTGATGCTTCATCATATGCAGTATCTCTAAATACGGAAGTCTGTGTCATAAGTTTCGATTATTCCATATTTCGTTGCCATGAGCTTCTGTATTTCAAAAAAAATACATATAATATAAACAAAACTAAACCTAGAAATTGATAAATTATCAATTGATGAGTGCGCCATGAGTTCAAGGTTCTAAAACATATGTTTCGGCTGAAACGGCATCTGTAACGACACATAGGATCTTCGCATCAACCACCCATTTAGAGTAGAAAATATCAAAAACTCTCGAAGGATAAGTCAAAGTTATTTGATATTTTTGTCAAACATACCGAAACAATCCAAACCACAGGGTACTGAGAACAACCAAGCTGATTTCAACATTTTGTTCTCGTTATATAACGAGAGTTTTCGTTCTCAAATAATAACGAGAGTTACCCCTAACACTGGGACAATACTAAAATACGTGTGTGCATGACAAAATTTAAAATATGTCTTGTTAGAAACATTGTCATATATCTCTTTCAAAAAACTATCATATGACTTTTTTCAAGTTTTTGTAAATTCTAATTGATATTCTACAAAGTATTTTCACTAAATTTCACTTAATGAGAAGATCAAACTTTGTTAAGATGATCCATGTATAGGTATATACATGGATCATCTTAAGAAAATTACTTACATAAAACACACAAAAGCCTATAATATGAATCTAATGAATGTCACATAAAACTTTTGTTGATTGTATAAACTCATCATTGTTCAATCAACTAAAATTATTTTATACATGAGTTAATTTTAAAATACATAATAAAACATAATCACAAAAGTCACATTTTAATATTATTTTCTGTTATCTATCTCTTATCATTTAATGAACACTTCAAAATCATTCAACATGTTGAATGATTTCCTAATCACATGAGAATAGTAAGTATGTGTATGATGTACAAATGTGAGTAGGGAATTATATTTCAACATATCATTTTAGGATTAATTTGATGAATAAAATGATAAAAACTGAATAATTATTTTTTTCTGCAAATGAACATGTAATGAATAACTCATGATTAATCTAATATCAAACAAAAAAACTTCATGTTTGTGAAAACTATGACATTAAAATTTACAAACTCAAGACTCAACAAACTTGGATTTCAAGAAGAAATGTGATTGCTTAATTACATGTATCACTTATGTAATTTATATGAACTACATAACTGAATTGAATAATTTTCATTTGATATATTTTAAAAATTAAGTATTCATAATATATTAATTAAGAAAATTCTGAAAAAATACACTAATTTGCACATCATGTGTGTGATTGTTTGTAAAAAAAATTTGAAAAATGATACAAAAAAATCTAACTGATAGATACGATTGCATTACACCTGTCAACTGCAATTTGCAGTTTTAGAAATAATGAAAATATACGGTTTTAGAAAATCATCACATGTGCAGACTTTGATTGATTTGTAAACATATTTTACTTAGAAATAAATTTTGTAATTGGATGAAATTTGAATCATTATAAAAAAATTAGATTATCATATTTTATCATCGAATGAAATTTATTTTGTATAGCTTTTATTAAATTTATACTACTTCATGTATATGTTGATTATTTTTATTTTACATATGTAAATATAAGTTTTTTCACGTCATTGTTATTTGGAAATTTCAGGCATAGCTTAAATTTTTTTTTTAAAATAATATAAAACGCAGATAATTTTTGATAAAATATCCTTTATTTAAATTCTTCTTATGTAATATATAAACTAAGTTATTAACTAACATCCTGACTGTTGCATTTGTCTTGCATCCAAATCGATGTGGCAGCGGAGTGTTAATCATAGTAAGCAGTTGTCCCCCTATCACTTGACCATGTTGACAATTCTCAATATCTGAATTGCTGAATGTGGTTTGGCGGTAATTTATCCTATATTGTTAATCGAAATTATTGTAAAAGCGACGACTATAAAAACTGTAGTTCAAGCTATATTTGTGAACCACCAATGATAATAAACTAAATTTATGCCTGATGAGTTTTGAAGAATGTTGTATAAGGTGAATTTTTTTTTCGCCCTACACAAATTTCAATTCATTTCAAATACTGAACTGAAATAATCGTAGATCATATTTTCTTCATTGTCGTATGCTTCGAATAGGTATAGTATGTAGCCTGAAAGAGAGTAATGTCGTAGGATTTAAAAGGAGTTCTATAAGAAAAACGATGTCAACAAGAGCTAAACATAAACAACAATGGGACAGTAAAGAGGGCAATCAATAAAATCCTACACATCAACATGTCTTGTGACGAAGACTGTGAATCTGCCGCCATGGCTCGTAGCGCTCTCTCTTACAGCTTCTGATTTTCATATAAAGTTCCAGCTTTCACGACCGAAAGAAGGGCCGAAAGGAAGACCGAAAGTAAATGGTAAATGGAAGACCGAAAGGAGCAACATGCAAAGACTGGACTACGCGAGTACGCTTTCAGCAGTCGATGAGTTTCGATGGAGGAGGTGCCCACCGGCTACAGCGTCGCCCACTTTGATAAAGCGGGTCGGGAGGTACGGGCACTGCCAAATTGCGTGCTCGAAAACAAAGAAAGCAGCAGAAGCAGCGGATCAGTTGTACCGGTAGAAAAGCGAGGCTGGTGATGAGGACGGGAGGGGAGGAACGATGATTTCTCGTGGCCTGAACGCGAGCGGGCTGCTCATGCCCGAGGGAATTCCGACCGGCGTCGGAAGCCTGTGACGGTGCGGTGCCTTGCGGTGCTCGGTTTGGGTGTTACGATCCACCCGTCACCGGAAGGTCGTCATGGCTTCAGCTGTCGAGGATTTTCTCAGACCTATGCCGGAGGAATTGCTGATCTACGTATTCAGTCGATTAGATTCCCGACTTTTAGCCGTTGTGGCATGTGTCTGCAAGGGGTGGCGATCCGCGGCATGTGCATTAAACTGTTCTGCCCATTGGTACCGGTCTGCGATGTCACAAAATCTGCAATTAGAGGTAGCATTTCTGTCGCACCCCCTGTTCTCCGAAGGTCGTGAACGCTGAATGTGGATTTCAGGACCTTCTTATATTTTTTGAGTAATCTTCCTCGGTCTGAAGTCGTAATAGTTTTTCCTTCTCATCTTTTCAAATAATAAGACCTGAACTATTCGTGCTTAGCCGCAGCAAACTTTCTCTGTTTGGACTGGGGTTTGCGGGCTGGCCCAAAGCTCACCTCTGAAGTGATTGCTACTTAGGAGCTGTACCTAAGAGGAAGAGACAATTCAAAGTGATAAGTAAATTGGATTACTTCTATAGTCATCTCACGCGAATGTTAATGTCTCAATTTAGGTGCATCTCTTCGTGCTTTTGCGCAGTAGATTAGGAATGATCTGTCTGCCAGTCTCGATGCCTCAAAAACTGTAAGCCTGTTCTTTTACGAAGAATGTGAAGTCATTTAAAGGTACTCTTTTCTTGAGAAACTCATCTTCTGCAGATGTGACAACCAATGGTTATCGTCTGTATCGAAATGATCAGTGGTTGGAGAAGTTCGGAGCTAGCCTCTTGTTTAGCCTCTCTTTTTAGCCAATCGATCTTAAGTAGCTCCGAAGTATTCAAACATGTGGATGGACCGGTTTGCAGGATGCGATGGATGAGCTTCTCGGGGATGTTTTAGCTGCTCCATTCTGGCCCGACTTTGCCATTGTGTTCGCGGGTGAGGAGGTGGATCTCAATCAAGTATCGGAAGTGGTGTGTCTACTTTGCTGTCTCTATGAAACACCTTCCACATAGCTCCACTGTGAACTTTCGTCTTCCATATGCTTGGCGGGTTTCCTCCGCCAAATATCTCGACTTTCCGTGTCGTGTCAAGCGTTTTCTTTTTGAATATAACAATCTTCACAAGAGAGCGTCGTGTACTCCAAAATAACAGCTTTGAAAGCTACTATGAATACTGGTTGATAAAATCTTTACGTTTCCAACTCTGGATGTACGATTTACCCACCAAAATAACATCATCCAACAGTAGCAATGTTCTTGGGTGCTAAAAGCCGGTTCTACTGCTCCAGGTGAAGAGGAGGCTTCCGAAAGGCTTACCTTTAGTAGCGTGCAACACAACAGGGATGATGGGAAGGGATATTGACACAGGCTTGTCTGTAGAGGTATGTGATGAGCTTTATCGCGAGTCGCTCTTATATTACGGATCAGATTTAGTCAACGTTGGCCCTTTTTCTCAAAGCTTCTTAGGGTCTAGTTAATACTCAGACAACAAAAATAGAACACGGAGCGAAGAGAGACTTTCATCTACCGAAGCATTTGTAGCTCGCAGGCGAAGTTTTGTTTCCGGATTGCTTGTCTTGATTCTTCTTGATTTTCCAGCAAATACTATGTTTGGAACTTGTTTACTTCTGTTGACGGATGAAACAGGTCGATTTATTTTTGCGAGTGGCTCAAGTTGATTTTGTCATTTTGTTTCTCATGGTTATCAGAACGCACATACCAATCATGATGGTGAAGGCAATTGGAATTCGCACGCTGTTTCTTTGTCAGTTGGACGCTTTCCAGGAGTGAATGTGAAAGCTCTGAAACTGCGAAATTCGTTATCAGTAGGTATCTAACCGTCCGACCAGTGGTCCAGGCAAGAGAGTTATTTTCCGCTTTGGAATCATGATGACATTTGTGAATGAACTGTGGTCCTTTTGTACTCCGAGAGGAAAAACTCTTACAGTTCATGGCATGTGAACTTTCCAGTCGAGTGACATGATTTTAGAATCCAGATTAGATTTCATAGCACCAACACGAGATACTTGCTTGCTGGTTCTCAAGTCATCTAATTTTTTGTAGTTAAAATTCATTCATCCAGTTTGTTACTACTAGCACCGGTCAGCCAGTGGCGAGTTCTGTGGTGGTCATCTCGTGATATAACATTCCAGCTGTGAAGTCAAGACTAATTACTGTCGGAAAATGCCTGCAGGATTCAGAAGTGAGGAACTTTGTTGCCACAGCTAGTACATTGTCAAGCCGAGGCCGCCCTGGGCATCATCCTCTAGCTATTTTGCTTTTCGCTGTAAGTCATACTTTATTCCTTTCATGTTGTAAATTCTAGGATTTTGTCGATACTAAGTTTACGTCCTGTTATTTCAAACGCTTTACAGAGCTTACTTTGGCGCTTTGTACACTAACGATATCTGGGCACAACTACCGTTTCGCAGGATACTTCAGCTGAATTTACACAGACTCTCAAAGAATTAGGTGAATAAGCATAATCCGTTGTAAATTCTTGCCGCTGGAGTGGTTATTGTTGATTGTGGAAGAGCTGCTAACAAGCCCCCAAAGTACTCAAAAAGTCGAAGTGTTTACCAGAAGACAGGTGCAATTCATTAATTATACAGCAGTTTGAATATACACAACAACGATTTAGTCAATTGCAAACTAATATAGTGCACCTCTGCTTAATGAATAAGACTGATCAAGTGCTGACGTGTGTGGGTTGGTCATGTTGCAGACAAAGCTTACGGAGGAAAGTCGGCTATAGGAGGAGGTGTTGTCGGTTTGATTGATAAAAGAAAGAGTCTGCTTGTGCACTCTAATCCTGCACAGTTGGTGCAAAGAACTATCGATTCAAGTGGGACACCTGGAAGTACCTGTCACTCAAGTTCCACAAAGGTCGGCAAATCCAAAGGAGACCTCGATGATACTATTCATGGAGATACTGCTTGCGATTTTGTTGCACTTGCTTTTACGGAGGATATCAGGTTCTCCAAAAATGGTGAAATACTGAACGTCGACTTTTTTCATTTCTTATCCTGGTATCGTGGAATCTATCAATTCCGAACAATTTGGTCATGAAGCCGAGTGCCTTCATGTTTATATTTTAATCGTTGGTTTCTGTACGCAACGGGATCTTCAAGAACAAATTCAGAGAAGCGGCCTTGCATTGATGGGCTCCAATATGGGCTTGTAGCTACTTGTTTTTGTACTTGATCACTTCCACCTGGGGTAGCTAGACACGGAGAGAGTCCTCAAATATTATTATCTTTATCATTCCCGCAGATACATTGTCTGGTGGTCGCTTGAAATGCGCTGTCGCAGCATCAGGAATCTTAAAGGCAGTCGGGCCACTTTACAAGGTTATTTCATCGAGGGTTTCCTCAACCCATGAGAATGTTCACACAAACATCACTTGTGAGAGGGACGGGGAACTTATGACTGCCGAAGACGTCGCAGAGGAAGTTGTCAAGCAGGTATGCAGTTTTGTTTAGTACTTGCAGCAGGTGACACGTTTAAGGCCCGAAGCAAGATGCAAAACCTGAGTGGCATTTTTGGCACCTGAGTGTTTAAACCTTGGCCTCTTCTTCTCCATTTTTGCAGTTCTCTCTGCCACTACAATCGTTCGGGAGAGGCCAGCTCCCGGTGTAATTTTCACAAATGTGACGGAGATATTAGGAAATTATAATAATTGTTCGATGTTATTAATATCAATAATGGGTAAAGCCTATGCATGTAATAGGCTCCATAACGTGTCCATTTCTTGTCTTTCTACGACTAATACTGGAGCTGGAATGTAGAATCATTTGCAAGAGTCGGGTGCACTGACTCATATCGGAGTTTTCCGACCACGCTCACGACAAAATCGGCCACATTTTTCGCTTCACGAAGTACTCAGGTAGACATTGACTCATCTTACAGACCACGTGTGGGTCGTGTGACAAAATTTGCAGTAATACCATATGGTTAGAAGCAGCTCTGCTCACTAAGTTACGTGGCTCTGTTGTTCTTTTGTTTTGCAGCACTACTGATCTATTGACTATCAGCGAAGCAGGCGTCAGAACGAGGGACTGTTTCCGCTTTTATACTCCGTGTATAGAAGTCGATGTTGCCGTGGAGTCGATGTCTAAAACCCTTTTATCCATGCTGTCGTCTGACAACGTCAATGACAACACGAAGATCATAGCGAGAAAAGCATACCCTTCAATGAAGCAAAGACCAAGACGCAAAATCATTGGTGGACTCGTGTTTTCAGGAGAATATTTTTGGAACCATGTGTTTTTTAACTACTGTGAAATCGCCGATTTTCATGATATCTTTCCCGACATACCTATCTCAGGAGTTACCTGCGACTGCCAGTTTGGACCACCTGCAGTTCTCCCGGGTGGCACCGATGTCGAGCGAGAAAGCACGCAGGGTAATGTCATGGGCAACTTTTTTAGCACAACCTTCTTCCTGTTTTGCACCGATTGAGTGTTTGGATTTGATTTGAATTTAAATCGTCATCAGTGAGGAGGGTGAAAAGAAGGCAGTAGTAGCAGATTATATTATAGTTATTAGATTTGGTAGCCGCTTAGCGTTTTAATCTGAAGAGAAATGGGAAACTCGAAGGGAAAGAATTCAACTTTAGAGCAGTAGACAAATGTATTATTTGCCACATCGGCGATTGTTCGATTATATATGTCCTTTTCAGTGGTCTTCTGCTTCTATGTCCTGAAACTTTTGATTTTACTACTCAGACTGGAACTTCTTCTCATCGAGTTCGACCTCTGTTGATTTGGATAGAAGGTGATATGTTTAGGACATGTGCCACTCACTTTCTGTCTCAAAATTCAATCCAGTGTTGTGTCCTCATTTTTTCAAACGAAGAAAACTATCTGCAAAATGCGAAGAGCTGGGTTTACAAGAGGTGATGTCCCCAGCCTACCCCACCGCGTAAAAGTAGTGCCCGACGAGGCAGGGTATGGAGTCAAGGAATATAATATCTGGATAACATATTTCAGCTGCAGCACCTACTTGACTTTTATAATTAGATGATACATAGTCAAAAAACTTATAACTTATTTAGAATAAGTTAATAGTGAGCGAATAGTCATTATCAATATTTCAACTCACGAAGCCTCGCTTTGCAACACGGCGTTTTGCGTTGTATGGAAAGGTATAAGGTACATCATCGTCTGTAGTAATGTTCTTCGCCAGTGGCATAGCTTTGGCATAGCTCTATTAGTAGATAAGTCTAATAGGTGAGATTTATTCATTCAGTCCCTAGACTAGAAAGCATCTTGCGGCGATTTCCATGTCCGTCAGAGAATTTCAGGTCAAAATGGATTTGAGAGGGTTTCAAGTAAACGGTGGGGGCGAAGTTGTACTTGTACGTACTCAAACGTAGGCGCGGTTGTCGATATATTTTCAAAAGAGTAGAAGAGCGTCATGGATGCGTGATTTTTGTCAGACTTGTTTATACTCACTTAAAGCATGAACTTAATTACTTGCTGATTACAATGCTCTTAGTGCTGACACACTGAACTTGGAATAAGCACATTACAGCACGCCACCCGTTACGTTAGGATGATAAACAGATTGACATTCTCAGATAGTCCACTGATACACTCTTCATTTGCATTAGCACCATACAGGAAAACATACTCGTCTATCGCTGGATTTCTTCGACACTTCTTGTCCTCATTTAATACTCGTGAATAATTTTCAGTGATCATAAGCCAAGAAGAGAAAGCTCCTCACAAACTAAGCTTTCTACCTAGAAGATAATCCTTTCAACACACATCGCTTTAGCTGGATATCAGTCACGAGTCACGAGTCATGAGTCACGACTTCCCTCCACTTCCCCTATTCTCCTTATGAAACAGTTTGTTGTGATAAGGAAGGCGATGCGTATTGTCCTCAAAGAGACATGTCTTCTACAATTTGCTCCTTTTAGACTCCAAGAACTTTGCGGTGCTGTCAACTCTTACGTGAAACCTTGCAAAATGTGGACCAAGAGCAATTTCCAACTCTTGCAGCCAATTTCTGATCCTTGGCCTGGAGTCGAGAATTGCTTCACAGTCTCGCTTGGGCAGGAGCTGAAATATAATAGACAAATGTTCTAAAACATCAGAGAGAGGTGCTGGTGTTCACTGGAGGTAGTAACAGATGAAAATTAGGGAATGGCATATCACACAAACAGAAAACTCAAGAAACCCATTAGTTAAACCGACACGCTGACCAGTGGCCTACGTAATTTTTTGGGAAATTCCCTACCTTCAGTTGTGTCACTTCGCACCCAATAAGGACATCGGCAATTGAAGGCTCCGACTCGCCGAGCAAAAAGGGGCCTTCTCTAGTCAGCAATGTCGTCTCCAAATAATTCAGAGCGTCTGTCATGTCCTTTTCATGCTTTTTGACTTCCTCGTACGTTGGTTCGGGTAACTTGAACACAAGGACTTGCAAGGCACGTGAGAAAACGTATTCTGGAAAATGGTATCCAGTCAACAATTAGAGAGGCTGGTAGTATGAGGAGAACTTCCATCACTTACGAGCAATCCGTGACTTAATTACGATAACACGAACTTGCAATTTGGTTATAGTGTATGTACGGTTGATTACGAGAGCCACTAACATCCTGATCCTCTTACCTCTATGCTTTTCAAACTGCTTGAGTTAATTTGGAAAAAATGTAGATATCATCAGTCTAATAACATCATGTTTATGATCTTGGTCTCTCAAGAATGACAACTAGTATATAACTTCTTCTTTCTAAAATTTCAAACGTAAATCAGCTTACTTGCAGTATTACGGAGATTCGTGTGATACCAATCCAACAAAGCATCAACTCGAGCTCTTTTTCTTGCATCTGCAGGGTACCTACATCACCAAAAAATCATACATCTAGACCAGTTTGAAGCAAAATAACCGAGACCCCAAATATTTACGTTCCACGTGCGGGAGAATCAGATTTGTGGGATTAAGATCTCGACATCATATAACTCAACTAGAGATATACAAAATTCGAAACAGTCACATTTTGCTGTTTCCAGGTAATACGCAAAGCTAAGAAACAAATTTGGAAGCCTAATCATCGTGGACTTGAATGAGTAGGTAAATTCATCTGCATGACAAGTTCAATGCTTCTGTTCTCCTGATATAAGCCATTGCAATTTGAAGTGCCGTGATGACATGACAAGGTACCTTTGTCCTACTGAGCTTATGAAATCGATGCATGGAACGAAGTTGCGTGGGAGACATATGAAATAATATAAAAAAAAGAAGGTTGGATAAGACTCACCAATGGTCCGATACCGACCGTGTCGACGCTAGGTATCTCAATATTGTGGCGCTGTTAAGAACATACACACAATTGCGTTTATTGCGGTAAGTTCAATGTAGATGTTTGACTTCCAAAGTGGGTAATAAACTGCACATGCCGTAAATGAAGAAGAACAAGATGACCATATGGCTAAATACGTCTCAAAATGGATACCAAGTAAAATACCTCTCAGCAAGATTGAAACCATCATCGACAAGGGCGGGTATTTGTCCTCTCGGGTTGATTGCTGCAGATTGGACACATTTCAGAAAAGCTTTAATGTCAGACATTGAGTATTTTTAAAGACTTAATTTTTTCACAAGCGAGACGATTTATAAGACAAAAGCAGTATGAAAAAAACTAATAATTCCGGCAAATGCAATCCTGTCTGTCTTGAGCACATCATTTTGTTTGTTTGGTGAAAAAGCTGTCGAACGTAATTGAGCCGATCGAAGCAATAAACAAATGATGAAAGTGCTTTTATTTATGACGACCACTGAAGAACCCTTAAAGTGACAGTACTGTACAATGGAATGAACACAACTGTGAAGTCAATTAACGGAATTTGTTCAGACACTCAGACAGGACATAACTCTGTGCTGGAGGAACTATGGTCTCATGATCTACTTCCACACACCATAGAAAGAGCAGTACATACTGCTCATAAGCTCTAGAATCTGTGAACAACTTTCCAATTCTCGAAGAATACTTCGAGAATTGAAAGCCTAGAATGTGAAGAAGCCAACCTGCGAGTAAACCATCTATGCATCTTCGCCAGCCGCGGTAACGTTTGAAAGAATGAATGCATCAGGGTACAAGTGGATGCATAACTGTATTGTTAAAAGTCATAATTGTAAAGAGAGAGTGTATGGATGTTACCCAAAAACTCAGGACTTTTGTGTTCCCGTTTTGACAAGCTCAGAAAATGTAACTCATAATCAATCAGGTTGACCCTGGATCAATGAAAAGAGCCAAGCTGCCAAATCAGAAAAAGGACTGAATAACTTCACGAAATCTTGGCACTACAAGAGCGTTCGGACGAGTTTGGGTGCCAGATTGATAGCCAAAACTCTCTGAGCTGTTCTACACCCGGCCTCGACGGATACCGTCAGCTGATGATCAGAAGGTACGCGTATTGGAAACCAAGAGATTAAACTCGCGCAGTGGTCCTACTGTCTGATATGGTTGGAGTTCTGCATACTTCTGTTGACGCGACCAATGCAGACACAAACCACTTCGAAGACTGAAGTGATCGAGAAATCAACGATAAAAGCTACTCCTTCTCGTCCCTGCCTAAGAATTGGACGCTCCAGAGAGGAACGTAATGTTTGAAGTCGAACGCTTCGCGACTGGACGCCAACTGGAACGGACAAACACCAAAGACACGACGCAAGAACGGAATTACTCACTCGAGAAAAATCGCAATGGCTCGGGTCGGCTGCGAGAGAAGATCTCCGTACAAGCGCAACACCATGACGGCGAGCGAGGGCAACGACCGCGGCCTCGTCTCGGGCTGTCCTCCTGAGCGCGGTGCTTGCTCGAAAGGAGATGACCCGTCGATGGCTTGCGCTCGGCATTCAGCACAATCGGCGCTTGAGAGGCACTGACACGTCGATTGTGACGATGGCTGTCAGTTGTGCTGTCCACAATGAGCACGATGTTCTGTCACTGCGTCGCTTGGAATGCCAACCATCATATGATTCACGAAGATTTCGATTTGTGATGCGTTCCATGAACGACATTCACTCTCGACCTGAACAACAATTGTTGCCAGCTTCAACTTGACGCTCGATCTACCTCTGTCGCTATCTGGCACAATGTTCATCGTTGGATCATACGCCTCGACTCTACTTCGAGTACAGACTGTTTTTATTGTTACATCCCAGTCGCAATCTTCACAAAACACTTAAAGTGCACGGCACAAGACTTATCATACTTGTTACCTCTTCAAGACATCAACCTGGCATTTAAAATCAGACTTTTCCAATTGTTTTCGTTTTTAATCGCCGTCACAATCTTCGATCTATCCCCTTTGCAAGATTTACAGAAAAAGATTGAGATTACATGGTTGGAAGTTAATCAAAATACATAATCCATCACTCGAAAAATTCACAATCTTCACCCTAATCTAATTTGAATTCTAGTCATTAAAATTTCTCAACCCTCGAAACAGCTTTAATAATTTTTGACTCATACAAAAAAGAGCAAAAGTAGTGGTAAAAATTTACACCTGGAAGAATGAATGAACATCCCTTGAGTTTTTCAACGCCAAGACTATGATGGGATGGCTAGGACCAGAATCTTCGAACGAAACACCATTGGACTGCTTTACTTTCAGTCTCCCAGCGTAGGCTGAAGGTCTATCTTACATTTTGTGCACCGAATGTTTTGTAGTTCTGTCATGTACATGTCCATGACAGGACATGCCGTTGAGCATTCCTTCAGTAGCAGTGCTTACACTGCAAATTTTTATTCAGAAAAGTAGTGTCCAATTTGTCGGAATTATAATAATTCTTTCTAGCGGATCATAGAGGTGGTGTGGGAATACGTGAAGAGTAGTAGAGTAGTAGAGCTCTCTTCCCATTTCAACAGGAGACTGGTGCAGACGAGTGACTATGCTGGTAAACAGTGTACCCTGTATTAAACCCCTTTGTTCTCTAGAACCTGGGTTCTTCACAATATCAGCGGTTAGATTCATGCAAATCGGTCATAGTAAATCCAGTTTTCAGTTACTTTTTGGCAGACAACATTGACGGTATAGGTCCTCAGACATACTTCGTTTCGATGAGTTTTGTCACGAAAGTTGCCTTCATCTCCTTCGATACTGACCATCTCCTCCCTTATATGAATATCAATGCACAATTGGCTGTGCATTCACAATGCAAGTATATGGATCTTCAAGTATTCCGTGTACACTTACATCTTCTAACATACTTTTTTAAAGCTAAAAAATACTCGGTGCCAACAACCGATCATTTGAATATCGAATGTTACTTTTAACATTTTGATATACATGAATGTACTTCGTATTGAAAACTCCATCTTGAAGAGAAGCTATTTATCAGTATATCAAATTAAGAGATTTTCCAACAGAGCTTTTTTATCAGTGTGAAAGAGATTTTAAATTCGTTACAGGTGAAAAATCTGAAATGAAAACCTATGATTTTCCTCTTTCAGTTTTTTCTAACCCATTGCATTTTGTTAATATCCAATCTTTGGTGTTAAACTTCTTGTCAATGAATTATTTGTTCGTGGCATGCATTGATTTATAAAATCTACACAAAATTACAGAGATAGACTAGTTATATTCAGTTTATGCTAAATATAATTCACCCTAGAATAATGATATAATTGTTTAAGAAATAAGGTTTGTGAAATGCTAGTTCTGTCGTTGCCGCTACTACTATTCCCGGTATTACTACTCCGCCGACGCACAAAGAAAACATACTTGCCAAGCATACGCATAAGTAGTATTCGAGTGATAGCTAGCCGCTCCCAAATTTAAAAAATGAGTACATTCCAAATCTGCTTTAGATTCTTTAGTTTTTTGAGATTTTCATTTGTTCAGTGATATCCTACGGTTCTCCAGAGTTGAGGTGAAATTTTGTTTGCGCCAAGTAATGCATGGAATTTTATCTTCCATCCAATACTTCACTTCATAATGATTGGTTGGGAAGCCAGTTAGCTGTTGTGCATTGTACGTGCAGGATGTGACTTTCAATAGGCTTACTAATCACACATGTCAATAATGATCAAGAATACTATGGCCAGCTCCAAACCTTAATGCTGAGACCACATTACCCAACGTCTCCGACTGTACAATTTCCTAACGAATTTCTTTGAACATTCAAAGATTCGAGCAAGCGTGAACGAGAAAGTATATACTAATTAGCCATAGTATTTCAACTGTCACTTGGACTGAGTTATTGAACCTTGCACCGGTTTAATCTGGCGTAACATTATAGTAACCAACTTCATTCAGCTTTCGGAAACTCTCGACGGATTACGAAGCAAGCTTTCCAATCTACAGGCCAGTCAGAATCAATGAGGCCAGTCATAAAACCTTCACAGTCCTGTATAATGCTATGTCGTTCACACCAGGAATGAAGATATGACAAATGAGATTTCGGATACGAATTTGTGTCAGCTCGAAAGGTGCAGCCTGGATCAAGAGCCAAACAACAACTCGAACTCCTCGAAACATGAGAACTGGCATCTTGCATTCATGCACTTTGAAGCTTGAAGCGCATATCACGGACACAACTTGACAGTCGCGTCCGTGATATACGGTAAACGTGAAAGAAAAACGAGATATCAAGTCTGACTCGAAAAGTGGAAAATCGAACAATGATCCAAAGATTACAGACCAGACCAGACCATCGAATTATCCGGAAATACGTGCTCATGCGATCTCACCATCGAGGAAACAGAAGAAATAGAAAATCATATTTCGCCATATGTGGCAGTCCTCCGAAAACAGGCAAGAGCAATATCCTCTTTCCATTTGTCTTCACCGGAGAAGCCTGAGCTCTGGGTTTCTTCAATCGCGCCAACTGTCGTCGCCTGTCAGATGGCGAACCATCTGACAGCTCAGTGGTCTCCACCTCAGCCATGAAATCGAGCACTCGAGCATCGAACAATTGGAACCATCGAACCCTAAGTTTCCGACTCGCGTGGATATACCGGAATGAGCAGTCAAGCCATGCACGAGCCGATAAGGCGACTGGAACGGGACGGGACTCATCGCGGAAAAGAAGCAGGTTCGAATAAAACAGAGCTGCTTTACGGCACTGGCAGCCGGTCGTCGGGAATATGATTCTGGTACGAATGCGTTCTAAATGCACCGGAAAGGAGCAAAGGCTCCGGAAGTAGGCACCGCATTCCGAATCGATGTTTTGAAGCCGCGGAATCGAATCTTTCGAAGCTCGAACGGACGACGAAAAGATGCACGTTGTGCTCAGGAGAGCGAGCGAGGTGTGAGAGTTAGGGCGCTCGGTGGGAGTCGTGGGTGGGTTTTAGGTTTGTGATTTGCGACGAGCAGAGAAGAGTCTTGGTCCGAAGGCCTGAAGGTTGCCAGATGATGGAGCTCACGTCAGGATCTGCCGCATGCTGGCAGATCCAATCCCGCAAATTCGCGGGCGTTGCGGCCTGCACTCGGCCCTGCAACCTCAATTCTTTCTCTTCTTCCTCCGGTGAGATCTCTCGTCTCGAAGATTTCTGGCAGGTCTGGAGGAATCCTGATGTTTCAGAGTGCGTCTAATTTGCGTTCTGGTGTTCCCCTGGGATGCAGTGCAGTTCGCCTCCAGGATCGAGTTTCGAAGAAGCAGATCTTCCATCCGCAAATGCGAGGGCAGAAGTACATTGGTACAAATTTTTTGCAGTAGCAATTTTGACGATATTTCGGAGACGGATGCGGGTAGCAAGGTGGCCAGTGATGCGGTTCCAGGGCTTGAGCTTGGGTCAAGGTCTAGCTTCACAGGTAGTCTGGATGGCCAGGCCCAAGATTTTGATAGAGGTAGCGGTAGTGGGAATGAGAACGGCAACGCTGGATCTGGAGGAGGCGGAGGAGGAGGAGGAGGAGGGGGTGACGACGGAGGCGGAGAAGGTTCAGATAATGATGACGAAGAGTTCGGTCCTTTGCTGAACTCAGAGCAAGTTCAGCAGGAATTGAAAGCCAGGGGCATTACACTTCCCCCGGACATGCTTGAAGCTGCCAAAACCGTGGGAATTCGGAAGCTGTTCTTGGATCGGTTTCTAGAAATGCAGGTAGGCGAGATCAGCTCAATGTCACCTGCATTTTCTACTCCTTCAAGTTACTGATTTCAGCCACTAATTATGATCGTCCGATCTGCATGGTAGTGTGTTTGTTTTCTCTTACCCTGCAATGGGTATGACCTGATGTTGGTCTACGTCTCACGATTCAATTGTGCACGACTCTGCAGGGAGGTTTGCTCGGGAAGGCGATGAATGCAAGTGGTGCTCTGAGGAACAGAATGCTTGCGGACCCAACATTTATCTTCAAAGTCTTCACTGAGGTATCAATTTTGCTCTACCACTTCGGTTTCTTGCGTCGTTCAGAGTTCAAAAGGCCAACGTGGTCACGTTGACTTCTTGCCGCGGGCTGATTTTGTCTCTGTCTGCAGATTGCAATTGATTCTGCATGTGCGACGGTAGCCGAGGTTCAGAAAAGAGGCAAAGACTTCTGGAATGAGTTCGACTTCTATCTGGCGGATCTCTTGGTGGGAATTGCACTTGATGTGCTTCTTGTTGGCCTATTGGCCCCATTCGTGCGTTTTGGTGCGGCACCTGCTGGCTCTGGTGCAAGTGCGAAACTTTCGAGAAGCATCATGGCCCTACCTAGCAGGTACCGATGGATTGGAAATTCTGTCGCGTGGAGTGTAATATCCTGCGGGGGGAGTGTTGGATGGATGGAAGGAATGCATGACGGATTAGCTGATGTTTGTTGATTGGTATTCAAGCGGTTGATAATGTGGCATGGTCATGAACATTGGGTTCTAAACTTTCTCTTTCGCATTTCTGACTTTTCATACAAACTTTAATGTTGCTTGACTTTCCAGTATTTTTGAAGCCCAAAGACCGGGGCGGACCTTCACTATGGGACAGAGAGTTGCAACCTTGTTTTACAAGGTAAGCCCTCCTAAGTCTGAAACGCGTGAAGATTCATTACCTTCCAGTTTGCAGTGCTCTTCAAGTTGAGGACCGGATTGTACGAAGGCAAGGAATCGAACTTCTGTTGTGAAATATTCGTAATAAGTTAGTGACATGGAACTGCAGTGTCATCGGCTGATAAGATGAGTTCCTCATGAAGTGGCTGAACACGCGTACAAAGAGTCAGTTGGTACTCATTTGTCTGTCTTCTGCTTATCCCCTCTCTGTTTTCGTATATCAGGCCGGGCAATATGGAGTGGCTGGATTTTCATGCGGTCTAATTGGACAGGGTGTTGCAAGCAGTGTAATGCTCTTGAAACGGTAAGGCCCTGGCTTCACATCACGGCTTTCGCAGTCTCCTTGGAAAGACTTGAATTCTGAAGATTAAATCACCAAGTGTCTACGAAGAATTTTCTCATGTGTGGAGTGTTGTCTCACTTTTCCGCAACTTGGACCTTACTCTCTGTGTTACTTATACAGCAAGCTGAAGACTTCTAATGAGCACTCAGAAGAACTGAAGGTCCCCAATGTTTTGACAAGTGCAGCTGTTTGGGGTATGTATTAGTCGGCCATAGTTTTGGATTTCTTGCCGGGCGTCAGGTGGGGTCTTGAGAACCCCGCCTGACGTATGAATTTCAGCATTACACTGCTTGCTGACGTATGAGTTTCTGAATTGTTCATCGGATTCAATACAGAGGTATATAAAGTATTACTGTTCCTCTGATTTGTTTTCCGCGGTAGCTTGTTGACAATCGTTCTGTTTATGCGATCTGCTGTGCAGCTGTTTTCATGAGTGTATCGTCGAATACAAGATACCAAATTATTAATGGGTTGGAAAGAGTTGTAGAATCATCCGTTCTTACAAGAAGGGTACCTCAGGTGGCCATGGCCTTCACTGTCAGTATTCGACTGGCGAACAATTTTTACGGTGCTGGACAATTTGTGGATTGGGCTAGATTAGCCGGTATCCAGTAGACTGGATGTATCTTTTCAGTTGTAAAGAAGCTCAAAATTCACGCCTGACGGATCTATAAAAGCTTAGATTCTTTGTAGTTCAAGGTTCATCGAGCTTCTTAGGCCTAGTTTGGCTTCAACGTGTCCGAGCTTCCAAGTTGTCAGAGTTTTCAACGTTCCTGTTATGACACTACGGAGGTCTTCAAACGAAGCTTTTGAAGGCGTGAAATACCTGCTACGATCAGTGCTACACCTAACCGAATCCAGTGTATTAGTGTGTAGTTTTGAGTATCAGCTTCGACATCGAAGGCTCAATTGCAAATGTGCTCGAGGACATGGCTCGACTATGCCTGCGAAATCCTTTCACAATTAGTAGCAGATATAACCGTGTCATCGAGAAGTATGCCTGTTTGGCAACAATTTTGACTGCAGCAAATTTCGCTGAATTATGTTCTTGAAGGAAGGCTCTTTAGAGTGAGAGCAGTCTCTTTTCTGTCGATCGAATCGATCTTCTCGTTTTCAAGGATCAGCTTGTCTTTGCCTGGTTAGACGTCACGTCAATATATCTCCTCTCAGAATTGGTGATTTTGTTGGTCACATGCACAGTAGACGTTTGTTAAGAGAGAGGAGGTTGTGCATTGAAGCATCTTCTTACGGTCTCGTCGAAAATTTTCTCTAGGTGCGGCCATTATCAGTACGTCCTTATCCTGCGTGGATGTGATGCTATCTTAAAGTTTGGTCTACACTTGAAAGGAGAATGGAGACATGAGGAGTGTCCGGGGACGTAGGGCTGCCACTTTGGCCTCACTACTTTGAGTTGTGGTCTCTCCTGTTGGATTCGCTAAAAGTATCTGTTGGAGAACAAGGTGCTGTTGCTGTTGCGGAAACAGATGATAAACATATGTCTGGTGAAAATCTTCTTGGAAATACTGATGCTACGGACTTTCGAGGTCTTGTATTGGACACGATTGTACGAAGTATCATGAAGGCTTTGACTGAGGTAATTTTCAAGTACTGAGTGAGGGCAAGCAACAGTTTGACATCTGCCCAAGGTATGAACGGGCAGTTTCGATACCCATGTTAGAGTACATTGCTCCTTAGATGTATCAAGGTGCTGAGCAATCAAACGCCCAAAAGCCAAGGATCGTGAAAATACGATCTCTCGACTTATTATTATCATGCATTCATTTGTAATCAAAACCATCACGCAGAAGTTTCCGACTTCGATTACAAACTTACGTCAGGTAAGAAGCTGAGAGATCTGTTTATTACTGCCTTGTGCTAAACGCGCAGTGTTTAAGCAAATCAAACTAGTGTCGCTAATTTGGTTCTTTATTTCGTGCAATGGGCACAGAAGAAGCAGATTCTTCTTTGGGGGGACCGGAAACTGAGCTCGAAAATATTGAGCCTCTGAATCTGGTGCACATGCGCAAGCTACTCAATCTGGTAACGATACAGTCGAGACATAGGGGTCTCATATAGTCCTCCTTTCTTTTCTTGATTATCCTGAAGTGTCAAAATGCTGAGTAGGTGATCTGTTTACAGATCTATCATGTTTTCCAGTTAGCCTGCGCATCCAGCTGATAGTCCAATATGTTTCAATAAACAATAGGTCGTTCAGATGGTAAGTTGATTCTGTCTTTTTCAGGTGGAGTTTACCCAGGACTTTTTGTCACGGTAAGAATATTAGCTTTGTGAATGAATTTCGGACGGGAAGACCTTTATATATTCCAATCCGCCGTTAGGTTTATTTCTCGAAACCTAGTTCCTCAGTTGGTCGCAGAACTTTCTGACTGTACTTACTAAGTATCGTACGCATAAACATCGTAATTTTGCAGTCTCAACGCTCATTTGTTCATGAAATGGGTTCATCCCTTTTCATGCTGTATAATGGAGCTTGAACATCAGTATCCTTCCATCAGTGGAAATTACAAACTTTTGACAATCACTATCAATAGGGCAGACCTCAACGGTTTCTTCCTGTATACAGATCTGTGCAAAGTTTCAGCACATGATGCCGATGAAACAGAAGAGAGGTATTACCAAAGCAATGTTTAACGTAGCTCTGGTATAGAACCTACAGCTATGGTCAGGATGAGGGACCTTGCAATATGAGGGACCAAATGTAAAGGGAAACCGTAACGATACTGAAGTTTTAGAATCTGCTTTGATATCTCAGAAGTGCTGAAAATCATGAAGACACGTGTTCCCACTGCTAAGCAGATTAATGTAATGCTCATGAGATACTAATGGCATTTGTTACGCTGTTTTCTGAGATGGTGGGAATGTTCTTCGCAGACGTCTACGTCTGGTATGTTTGGACGTGGTAAACGTCCACGTGTGGACGTTTGAGAATGGACGTTCCATTCTCTTCCACTTCGGTGGAAGGGGTCGTGGATAGCCTAAGTGAAAATTTGAAGTGCTTCAATATCGTGGGTGCAGGAGTGGAAGGTTACTCTTCGAGCACCCGAAGATTAATTAGAACCACAGAGAGGACTAACTGTTCCTTTAGAGCACCAGCGCTCTTGCCAGCAGTTGTTCCGCCATTATCTTAAGGAAGTACTGGTTGCCAGTAGGCGGTACAAGCTTGAACTTTTAGCATCCTGCCTGCGGATTTGCCTATCTGCTCCTCCTCAGCTGTTCATTGACATCCGATCCTTGATAGCGCCGATGCAAAATGCCTTCAAGATTAGCCTAAAGATAGCTTTCACACGTACAGAGTAGTCTGAAATGTATAGATTGTTGTCCAGAATGATACAGTTATAGTTCAAAGGTCAATCTTCCCATATTGAATTTTCTGTTGGTATGTTTGCCGTAAAAGGCATCGTATTACTTTGCTCCAGTAGTTCAAAGGTGCTGAATGTCACACTTTCCATTTTCAGCGATGGTGCAGAACATTAGTGTCAACATGTGGATCAGATTATATGAAATGTACTTGGTCTGCTGCTTTGCAAGGAAGACAGTCAAAAGCCAGCTTTTGACAACAAAGCACGTAACCACCTCTTGCATCAGTAGCGTTGGATGCACTGGAACGCTGGCATCGACTATATCCACGCGAATTGGAAATCTGGCTGCCTACAATTTGTTCGATGCTTAAGCGATTACATGGCTGAGGTGGTGACCCTCTGAGCTGTCAGATGGTTCGCCATCTGAGCTGCCGACAATCTAATCAAACAGCATTCGGGAAAGCCTGTCACGGCTACAGTTGGCGCGATTGAAGAAAATCAGAGCCCAGGCTTCTCAGGAGAAGACAAACGGAAAGACGATACTGCTCTTATTTGTCTCTACAAGACTGCCACATACGGCGACATATGGTTTTCTACTGTAATTTTGATGTAAGTGCTGATGAGCACGTGTTTGCATACCAGAAGAAGGTCTGGTCTGTTATCTTCGGATCCTAGTTCGATTCTCCAGATTTACCAGACTTCCCATGTTTAGAGTCAGTTTTGATATCTTTTGTCCATATACGTTTAGCGTATATCACGGACACGACTGTCAAGTTGCTGTTTAAGCTTCAAAGTGCATGAATGCAAGATCCCATTTTTCATGTTTCTAGGTGTTCGTGTTGTTAGTTATCTCTTGATTCAGGCTGGAACTTTCAAGCTTACACAAATTCGTATACAAAATTTCATTTGTCACTTTTCATTCCTGTCATGAAACGACTTAGCACTAGACAGAATGTGAAGGGTTTATGACTGGCCGCTTTCAAAGATTGACCTTTGAACTATACCATTCCTGTAGATTGGAAAGCTTGCTTTGTAATCCGTCGAGAGCTTCCACGTGTCTCTTCGAAAGCTCAGTGAAGTTCGTTGCTATAATGTTACACGGAAACCATCAATATAGATGTTTCACCTCCAAAGAATTAAAAATATCTCACTAGGATACAAAAGCTCTGATGAAAAATATCTTCTTCTTATATACTGATTGTCAAAAAAATCCCTTCACTTCACGATGATATTATCAGTACAAAGAAAATTCATGTGTTTTAAAACGCGAAAAGTAACATTCGATATTTACATGGTCAGATGTGGGCACAATTAATCTTTTAGCTTAAAAAAAAATGTATGTTAGGAGATGTAAGTCTACACGGAAAAGTTCGTCCAAGGATTCTAGACTAGGATTTTCTCTAGTATTGCATTTTATGAAGTCGCACTGTGTGCCAGTGTTTGCTAGATGGCTCCGGAATTGCAATTGCAACAACAAAAAAATTAGTAATAAAAGCATTAACACTAATCATACACCATGCCTGGATAACCGAATACTGTTTTCTTCAAAAGGTATAGACAGTATTACTAATGTTACCCAATCCTGGCAGAAGAATTAGAATATGAACCTCAGGATGCTAGTGGACTCAAGCAATCTGTCCAAAACGTAAACCCGCATTGGCTACTAGAACTCGTTGCATGTGCCAAACGGCAAGTAAGTGTTACGGGTGAATCTGAAACTGTAGGTGTCAGACAGTACTTTGGTTTCTAATGTCCCCGGAACCTTGTGCCAATAAAACATCCATTTACTTGCATTGTGAAATCACAGTCAATTGCATTGGTGTAATTGTTGGTATGTGTTATATGTGAAGATTTAGCAATGATTTCATCATAATTTGAGCTGAGTTATGATGGTAAAAGAGTTCAACAAGTCGTCTTTATTGATAATATCTTTATGTCACATGCTCCATTGAAGCAACGGAGTGACAGAAGACAAAAAAACGTGGGCTTTATAGCTCACTATTCATATTTATCAAGAGATTTAACTTCTTAGGAAAACAAAAAAATATCGAATTAAAACAAATATGTTCTTAGTCTTCACAGCATCCCCATTGTTGGAAAAGACGTTAGTTGCTAAAGGATGCACTTCGATATCTCATTCTTGAAACATCAATGACTTCGGGGGTTGATTAACATCATGGACACTTCTGTGTCAGGGTTCGAGACCGAACTTATGATAATCGTTGGGATTTGTCTTGTATTGGAGGTCAACAGAACCAACCGCTTTCCATGTATTAAAAAACCATCGATGTGAAGTACCAAAGTCTGCTGTGTGAAACGAAGCCCTATACTAGCCTGGTTGCCTGATCATAGATGATCCATCATCTATGAGGTCGAGGTGAGACATTGGCTTTCTTTGGGTGATTAGGACAAGTAGGAAAGCGACCATCATTAACAATACAAGGACTCCTTCGCCGATTTACACGACTTCTTCAAACACAAGACTACTTTTTAACACGATGTTCATAAGAATGAAACAACGAACGAATGCTTAGTAACAACGATGGATACAACCATCAAATAGTATACAAACTGCAGGCAAGTGAAGGCCAGAGAGTACCCGTCACGAAGAAGAGTGAGCGTCATGCGTAGGCCTCTTCAAATATGGTATTGGCGGCGCTAATGACAATTTTGTCATAAATAATATTTGCGGCATGCCATAAATAAAAATGATAGTTTTAGTCTACAGTTACTCTTGTCAGTTACAGTTAAAAAAAAAATTGTAAAAATTGAGTGATGGAAACAAACGCCAACTGCTCTACCTGTTGCTGTTGAATGAACAACAACAATTCTTCAACGTGGAAAAGAAAGAACATAATTCTTCAGATGGTCATGGAAAAGAACTACCATCTGAAGAATTATGTTCTTTCTTTTTTGCCACAGAGAAGAAGCGAGTCCCGCTGTCAAAGAGATCTGACGTTCGTTCATTTTTTGCCCTTTAAGATCTTTTATTTATTAAAGAACTGCTGTCGATATGTCGTCAAAGAAGCGCAAAACTCCATTCAATTTCTCTCACGAACTTGAATACGGATTGGAGATTTTGTCAATGTCGTCACATCAGTTTTGTGTCATTTTTGTCAGGTACGGGGCCGTGAACAAAAGATTGGCCGGAAGCGCAAGCCGGCTAGGACCACAAAGTATTTTAAAGTTCCATATCGACTTGAAGTGTAATCACAACATCTCGAGAGCCAACACTTGATCAAGTGGAGTGAATATCGTTCTCTGTCAGTAGACGCAAAACGAAGTTTCTTTGATGTTATTGTTTTAATGAATACTATGCATACTCATTTTGTTGGATCAGGAAATCAACTATATTTTCATATAAACTTAAACATTTTCGATACAATTCTTGTACAACTCTATTTGATCTCAAAGCTGAGTACGTTTGTAGTGATAGAGCGTTGAGACTTTTTGAGCTAATCAAATCTGACAGTGTGATTGTAGGGGATCAAATTCATATCAAGAACATCAAGCTTTTCAAGCTTGTTATTGGGATGGTTGGTCTTGGCTTGTTGTTCAAATTAATAGCGCGTCAAATGGAGTGTGCACGTGAAGAACTAACTCTCGGTTATCTTGACAGATGCAATGAGTCAAAAGTATCATTGTTTGTTGAGGTTGTTGTTGCTGTTTGACTTCAGAAACACAACAAATTACTTGTTGATTGTTGGGCCTTTTTTGTCGCATTTGATTCATCGATGGTTGAAATCACTTTGTATTTTGACGTTAGAGTGAGGTTTGTTGTACGAACTAGGTTGTATTGTTTTCATTTATCTTGTCTTCTTAGCTGTTTCTTGTTCGAGATATTCGAGAAAGCTATAGATGCAATTTGTACATCTTGGATATACACACTCTTATCAACATGCTCTGATGATGCCAAGAATATGACAGGTCGAGTACATGGAATAATGCTTCGTATCTCCACTCGAGTTGAACACGAAGGTTGTTACTTGATTCGACTCTAGTTTGGTGCACACCAACTTGATCTTGTCGTTCAAACTGTGATTTCATATTATCTCAACAAAAAATTTTACTTGATATTAATTGCCATCATCGGATACCTTTGTCGATAGCCAAATTTGATAAGTGAAATGCGATCTAAGTGTCCAAAGGTTGCAACTACTCGCTGGTTATCATTGAGAAAGTATTACCTTGGGTTCAATCATCATTGTCGTATTGTTGAATACATTACCTGAAAAATTTTGATTTGAAACCAATTGTCATGTGCTAGATTGCTTTATTTTCATTGTGCCAATAGTTCCAAAGATTGACATTTTGTTTAAAACCGTGTAGCATTCTACGTTACTGGTCACACACAAGAAATTGCTTTTTCTAGATTCAACTCTTGTCTTCGAGATGTGACAGGAACGGAAGGTACACTTTCTGAATTGTTATTTCAGAAACAAGATGAAAATATATGGTGTTGTAACAGTTTTTACATGATTGCCAAGAATGATGTCGTGCACTTTGTTCAAGTGTGTCTTGCAACAGGAATACATGCAATCTAGCCAGAAAGTTATAGTAACAATGCACCAGCAACAACTTTATTCCCATGTCTTCCTCGTGAGTTTGTGACCATGCTTGCATCAAGCTTTGTGGACCTGATCATTAAATTTCGATATCGACTTGAGAAGAATTTCACCAATTAATATATTGACAGCTTGGAACGAGAATACAAAGAACTGAGTACTGCTTATCAAAGAAAAGATATATACTCCTTGATATTGTAGATCAAATGCCGCAATCTGTAGATTTTCATGAAGCATGGAATGCTCTTGAACATAGATTTCCCAAATTGGGCACATTTGCTGGAAAATTTGCTAGTGTATATATTGGTACCATGCGTGTGGAGAGTAATTTTTTGTCATTATTAGGAATCTGTCACTCGTCATTATGCACTTAAAAAAGTTTAAGGAAATTTAAGCAATTTGATAATGGTTACAATTTGAAAATTCTGGTGATGCCATCCATGATAGAATAGTTTATGACAGATTTGGCAAATGCCAAGTTAGTATAGGCCCGGTCATGCGTGTTCCTATGATGATACTGATGATATCCTTGCTAAGATTTAAAAGTGACGTCACGGAAGTATCAAGCGATGGGAGAACCTTGCAAAACCAAGCACGCGACAAAGACCCAGCACATGAAGAATAATGGCCTCGAATGCTATCATGATGGAGCTACGCATTCTCAGCGATGCTTGTTCGGTCATCGTGCAACTGGCCTAGATGTCTTCCTGGCCATAATCCTATCAGTCAGAAAGAAATGGCGAAGTCACAACCGATGGTCCTCGGCGACTTCACTTCACATTACTACATCTTCTCACCATGCATAGGGTTTACCTGCATAAATTAAAAATTTCTTGGGCTTGACATTTCGCTGCTTTTATTTGGACAAGACATCTCATCCCAGGTGTTACGTATTGTCGGCAGTGAGTTGTTAAATGTGGCACTTACATTCCTACCCGCAAGAGCGGGCAAACTGATTCTCAATACAACAAGTGACCCGCAATAGAAGTAGCATTTTGGCTTGTGCCTGGCCCTCCTGTTAAAACACGTTCTCTGACGCAAAAAAAAACATGTGTGGAACTTGATTTCATTCAGAATTTTACTTGGTCATGATCAGGAAAAAGGTGTTGTGGCAACTTCAAATTCATGATGGACTGTTTTTCAATCCGAACTGCAATATTCCAAGGATTGCGTTGCAGACAACAACGAACTAAAGAATGCAGGCCACCTTGAGGTTGGCTGATATTGGAACCGTAGACAATGTTCGTAACACTAGTATAGTTGCCAATACGAGACCCACTACACCACTTGACGCGTGCCTCTAGATACTTTCCCAGGCAGCAAACGCAGCCTGTACTGAGGTTTTGCGTACAAACTGCGGATCTGCCCGAAGAGAAGTCCTAGTCAACTATCAGCCTCCCAAGATCTAGACGGTGATAAAATTGAATGGATTTTATGTGTTCATCTAAGGGAAGAGATGGTCAGTATCGAAGGAGATGAAGGCAACTTTTGTGACAGAACTCATCGAAACGAAGTATCTCTGAGGATTTGACTGGCAAGGACCTATTCTATTAATGTTGTCTGCCAAAAAATAACTGAAAGCATGGATTTACACTGACTGATCTGTATGAATCGAACCGCTGATATTCTCAAGAACCCAGGTTTTAGAGAACAAAGGGGTTTAATGTAGTGTACACAGCGGAGTAAATACAGGGTACAATGTCGCGACCCCAAGTTAACCAACATAGTTACTCTTCTGCACCAGTCTACTGTTGAAATGGGAAGAGAGCTCTACTACTCTACACGTATTCCCAGACATCACCTCTACAGTTGGCAGTTCTATGCGAAGGCCCTTTCCGTGAAACTTCAAATTTGTCTATGATCAGCTAGAAAGAACTAGTATTATTCCGAAAAATTGGACACTTTTTTTCTGAATAAAATTTACAGTGTTAGCACTGCTACTAAAGGAATGCTCAACGGCATTTCCTGTCATGGACATGTACACGACAGGACTACAAGACATTTGGTGCAGAAAATGTAAGAAAGACCTTTAGGTGACTCTGGGAGACTGAAAGTAAAGCAGTCCAACTGTGTTCCGTTCGAAGATTCTGGTCCTAGCCATCCCATCATAGTCTTGGCAGTGAAAAATTAAAGGGATGTTCATTCATTCTTCCAAGTGTAAATTGTTACCGCTACTGACCTTTGTTGAGGTTGCTAAGCCGTTCAATTCTCAAGGGTTGTGCACCATGAAATCTGACTGCAAAGGACCACCCCCATTCATCAGTCTCCCATCCATGCCTTTCGTGCTTCCAGGAGCCATGCAACCTGAAGGCACAACATTCTTAATGACCATGGGCCTAACGTTGGAGCGCTGAGCTGGAACCGGTCCAGGTCCATTGACAGATTGCACCCCATTTGAGCCCTTGTTAAGGGCACAAAACGCATCTGCACCTACTTGCTTTGATTCAGCAGAACCCAGATCCAGTTTGCTGAACTGCTGTTGCTGCAGCTCGTAAGCAGCAGGTGTTGACGACTGAAGCTGCTGTTGCTGTTGCTGGATGTGCTGCTGTAATTGCTGTTGTTGCATATGATGCTGCTGCTGTTGCTGATAAAGCTGCCTTAGCCTTTGAACTTCCTTCTTCAAAGCGTCATTGTGAGCTTAAACATTACAAACAACACACATGTCAACAGAGGGTCTGGCTGATACATTCAACAATTTGCCAACCCGCAGTACAGACAGACAGGCCGAATTCAGTTGCCATAGCAGACTGTTCCTCACCTTCTTTGAACCTTTTGTCTTGAGAAAGCGCCGCAATCTTTTGCTTCAAAGAATTGTTATCGACATTCAAGACCACTCTCTGATGGTCGAGGAAAGCCACTTGAGGGGAAAGAGTGGATACTTCCGTCTACGCAATCACAATCGGAACAATGAAGGTGAGTCGGACACTACTTGGAACATTAACAAGCTGACTACTTCTCAGATTCGTCTTTCAGCGTGGAAGCAGGCAGCACAGCGCGGGATACCTGGCCACAAGATTTTTAAGATGCAAAAAGACATTTTAAATTACCTGCAGGGCATGGACGCTCCTTTCAAGTTCAGAGATATACTGCAGCTTCCGTACACGAGAGCGCTGTGCAGATTGTCGGTTTGCGAGAATCCTGCATATCAATGCCATGACTCATCCGCTTAGGTTCAAAAAGAAGCCATATGAAAGTTACGGAGCATGACGCCGAGAAAATGTGGTGCAAGAAAAACTCATGTCTGAGAGAACCGGAGAATAAGAACACGGCACATGCGTACACAGTGAACTCCTCACTTCCACAAACATGTAGATAAAATTACCTCTTAGCCCTCTTTGGGTCCAGGTTTGGATCAATTTGTGATGAAAGCGATTGCAACTCTCCTTTTGACGGTTGTTGACTACTTGCGCCCTCTCCTTCTCCTACGCTTTGAACCTCAGGTTCACTTTTCATCCTACCAAGTCCCCTCTCCTCATTTGAAACTTCACTAAGACTATTACTGTCAGATGGCGTGGAGGGGTTCTCTGGTGTAGTTGCTGGTGTCCTCCGTTCAGATGTCCAGCTATCTGCAGCAGAACTTGATACAGCATTACTGCCTGATTGAGCCCGGGCACCCTCAGACTGCTGATTCTGGTGAGAAGCTTTTGAACTTTGTTGGGAAGGCTCCATATCAGTAAACATCGACATAAGTTGCTCTTCGCTAAGCTCGAAGTCCAAAGATCCACGACCAGACGGTATCGAAACAACACTTCTCGCATCAAATTCGTCCTCTTCAGCGATATGGTCATCTATTTTAGAAAAGCTGCCAGGCGCTTCCAAAAATGCAACAGAATCGCTCGAAGAGCGGCGATGGGATCCCCTCTTGAAAGGCACTTCCTGTGGGTCTATAACATCATCCAGCCATGCGGGCTGGACTTGGGGAAGATATCCCGCAGAGGGTGTACGCTTGTGACCACCACCACCACGATTAGGGTAGCTAGACCGACCTACACCTACAAATGGTCCAGAGGTTGACTCAAAAAGACTGGATCCGAAGCTAGGAAACGTAGGACTTTTAGGTGGCAAATGCGGATTCATAGGAAACGACCAATTCACCGCCCGTCCATCTTTAGCTTGACTGGCCATGTGTGGAAAATATGTGTCTTCAATCGTGAAAATTGTAGATAAACCTAAATCTGTCGTTGAGAGCTGATGTCCAAAACCTGCAACCAGAAAAGACCCCACCAGAAGTTGAAAAACCATAGGGATAGGAGTTATGTACGAGCAAAGATGAGAAAATCGCGTGTTATACTCGAAACCCCTTAAAGATTCCCCTTAAAGTTGCTTGGAAGAAGTTCCCAAAATATTCTGGACAGCACGGCTGCCTCAAAGTTGGTGTAAAATACTTCTCACGATAAAACAACATGATATCAAAACCAAACGTGCGTAGTCCAGGACAGAGATGGACTTTGGATTGGATAATACTTGTTGGCAGTTCCGTAAACCTGAAAGACCTGGACAATTTCGTGCGTATTACAAAATAACCATACTTTTAGTCTCACGATAATCAAGATTTCACCAAATCATCCTCGAGAGGTCTTCTCTTCAGACGAGAACCACGGCAACAAATTTCGTACAGCAAAAACAGTGGATGCCTCGGCCTGTGTTGCGTGCTCAGTGAGCCCTCAGCCACCTATAACATCTGCAATCTACAATCTCTTCACGTCTCCAAATTACGACCAAATATTTATACCTTAAAAGAACCCATCCGCGTGAACTCCTCCAAACAGTTCAAAACTTCAAGACTGGGTTCAGGTGCTTTCACGGTAGATTTTCAAATTTACAAAAAGGGGTTGGTTAATCAAACGTAAAACACAACGCAAAGCCAGACACTAAATCCGGCCTTTGCTAGAGACGTAGCAAACTCAAGGCCGAACGACTGATAGGAATCCCATTTGAAATCTCGTTCCCTTCAGACTACCCGGCTGATGGACATCAACATCCGTAGATAATTTAATACACCGTCAAGGTATTCCCACCTCTACACGGCTAAATTGAAATTCGCGATCGCAATGTTCAGATACTGTCGAATATATTGCCCAGCATTCAGCAATGTTCATGACAAAGTTCATGTCAGTGTCCATGAGTAACCGCCACCCTCAGCAAGCTCCACGTAGAACTTGCAATCCTGGTCTCCTTTGAACCTCGCCAAAACTGCTACATTACGGCGTAAGAGAGTACAGCTTCCTTGTGTGAAGGGCGCAGTTCGAGAGAGCACCTCAAAAACTGAGAGTTATGACCATATCGACGATCAAACTTCTTCAAGGCTCGAACCCGCCAGGTTCGCAGTATCAACTGAACAAACATATGGAGGAAGTACAACAGACTCTGAAACGATGGGTAACCGATGGGTTTGACAAAACACTCCACGTCTCAGTCTCAGAGAGAGAGAGAGAGAGAGAGAGAGAGAGAGAGAGAGAGAGAGAGAGAGAGAGAGAGAGAGAGAGAGAGAGAGAGAGAGAGAGAGAGAGAGAGAGAGAGAGAGAGAGAGAGAGAGAGAGAGAGAGAGAGAGAGAGAGAGAGAGAGAGAGAGAGAGAGAGGTTACCGGTTGAGTAAGAAACTTAATCCTCCTGCAGCGGCTAGCCTGAACGCTGATCTCTGCTTGCCGGCTGGTTCCGTCACGAAGGTCTATATGTTAGGGTGCTCGACCTGTAACACACGAAAACAGGAAGAACATTATAACTGTACCGTCTTCACGGACACAAGGGTGTATAATGTTCACAAATAACAACTTTCCCTCTCATGACGTTCTTGTAATGCAACTTCCAGAGCGTTCAACTGACAGAAGAGACGTATGTCCTAATACTGATCCCTCATTCCTCGAAGCACCAGACCTTGGGCAGTTGGTGTAGTTGAGGACAGAGCTGAGCGACAGTCGCGAGAGTTGGAATGGTATGAACCACTCTCCCAAACTTCTGCGAGGAGTTGATGGCTAGCCAGCCACTGCAAAATTTGTGAGCGTTGTTATGTTTGTTCACTAGCTTTGATGCTCAAAAGATACCAAGAAGAAAGACTTCCGAGGCTTTCAAATACATTGTGAAACTGGGGAGCTTAAGAATAGTGCGTGTACTCGGAGGAAATATCACGCAAGTTCCTTGCGAGGTTAATCAGTAGAGACAGACAAATTGGGAGCGCGAGATCAAACACGAATCTCATCCAATCATAGTCTTCCACTGATCTGACTGAAATAACATACGGTAGCGGCTACACAGGCGCGGAGAGCTTCCTCGAGAGAACTCAGCACCCGGGGAGTACGATCACGAACGACTCAGGCTGCATCGGTATAATTATCTTGAGGTCGGAGAGAGGCCACAGATCTGTTCGAAAATATCAGCACCATTAACCCGACGGAGGACACTTTCTTTCCAGCTCACTGGCTCACTTTCGTCTCAAAAGCTGCCACAACTTTCTCTCACCTTACCGACAGCCGATATGGTCCTAGAAGATCGAAGGCAAGGTGACGGCTCAGTCATTCGTCATGAAACAATCGTCCAACATTCAGATCCGCCTTCTTCGCCCGTCAAAGTATTTCTCTCTCCGCTACAACATCGTCTTTAAAATCAATCACTTCGAAAAAAAAGGCGCACGCCCACACACACGGTAAGATGTGGCAAAGAATGAGTCGTGATGTGTGGCGCGCGTAGATGGCAATCGTCCGATTGCATAATGAGGGTGCTATGCTATATCGAGGCCCAAATTTTGGCAGCCGCGCGCGCAGACGGGGACGGTGGTGGCAGCAGCAGAAGCAGCAGCAGCGCCGGGCAAAGAAGCTGGCTGCAGCAGAAGGAAGAGAGGGAGAGAGAGAGCGAGAGGCCGACTAGTCCTAGAGGTCACAGAGACAGAAAGCGCGAGAGTCCGATTGATGAGAGACACGGGAACAGTGAGAGGGAGGGAAGGGGAGGGGAGAGGAGAGGAGAGGAGAGGAGGGGAGGAGGGAGGGAGGGAGGGAAGCAGAAGAGAGAGACAGAACGAGGCAGGAGAGGGCAGCCGAGGGAAAAGAACCGATCTCGACTCGCTCGCAGGTGCCACTCGGATCGAAACAAGAGACGAGAAGAGGACCGTCGAGACACAAGAGCGAGCAGAGAAGACAGATTGACCGGTCGTGAGACACGCGTCACTCCGGAGCGTCGAAGGCCCGAGGGTTCGAGATGAGATTTTCTGTCGGGTATGCGGCCTTCCCATGAGTCCGTCCCCGTCCGCCTTCCCTTCGCGTTCCGCTCCCCGCTCCCCGCCGGCTCCTGCTCGGCATCGTCAGCGCCAGAATGGCGACTCCGCTTAGCAGCATAAATCCCCAACTTTAAAATTCAACCACATCGCCCCTCAACTGTCTGTCTCTGCCGCTCTCCTAGGACCGTCTCACAGTGCAGTGCTCCCGGAGGGAGTAGGTGCCCGCGTGCGCCAGCCGAGCACACATCTCCTACTCCTACTCCTCCTCCTCCCGCTGTACGCAGTGTACGTACGTCCCGCTCGCTTCGGCTCCGAGCAGGGCTCGCGATCGGGATCCATGGCCTCGGTTCGGGTCACCCGTGGGGCACTCCATCGGCGATGTCGCGAAGTCGGGGTCGCGAGCTCGACAGGCGACGTGGTGGGCCCGCGATTTCTCCACCAATCGCATGGATCTCGGGAGCCGCCGACTTCCGCCTCGAAGGCTGTCGCTCTCGGCGATGACTCGCAAGAGACTTCAGGGACGCGAGCGGATCCGGAAGTCCCACCATCGGATAGGCAAGCCAGCTCAGCAGTTCGGTCCGGTCCGTCCGGTCCCCACCCCAGAACTTTCCACCTTCAGAGACGGACCATACTCGAGTGTGCGGGCTACGGAAGGCAAGGCAAGGCAAGGCCGGGCGGGGCGGGGCGGGGCGAGGGAAGGAAGGAAGGGGAGCGGGAGGGGGAGGGAGCGGGGGGTTCTTGGGACGGTCACAAGAGGCCGATTCAACGGCGTCCACGTGGCGCGAGCACCCGGCCATCACCTCGTGTGATGATGCCGCTCGCGACCGTATGCCTGCCATTCGCTCTTCTCGCCGTATGCCTCTACGAGCGATCCATCCATCCATTCATTCATTCGCCCGCTCGCCCGGTCGCAGTCGTTGCGACCGGCGGTGGTGGGTCCACGCGCAAGAGCGCTGCGAGCAAACGGCTGGCAGCTCGAGGGATGCCAGCGCTCCGAAGCCTTATGTTTGGGAGGAGTCGCGCTCGTCTTCTTGCTCTCCAGGCGCCGTCGGCAAATGACATGGGACGGGATCATGCGCCTGCGAGCAGCGAATTGCCAACGACAGGAAAATAGGCAAGCCGCGGAGGCCTGTCTTCGGCTCGCCCGCCGGCCCCACGTCCGCGCCCAACCGTGTACGTCTTAAATTGGACGCTTATATTATCCATTTGCAATCTATCCCCGCACCTATCTTCTAATTCCCCGGGTCCTCCGAGCCCGACCTCCGCTCTCTCACGGAAAAAGCTGCCATCGGAACCTCGTGTACAGTGGCTTGGATTTAGGAATTATGTCGCCCAAATTCGCATTTAGCGTGGTGTGAGGTGAGCAGTGGCTCCATCATGGACGATCACGTACAAATGGCTTAACGAGTAAGATTTGTCTTCTAGGTGTGTTCCCTCGCTCAAATCTTCCTGTGAATCTGGGGCTTCGCCTGGAAATGTGACACTGCAGCGGGTCCATCTAGATACTTGTGATGGCTACGAAGTCACGTTCTTAAATGAAGTGCCTTTATACCTTCCATAACCATAACATATTATTAAGCCACTGGATTCTGTATGAATATACAGACCTCGACATGGATTGCCAGTCTAGACTCTAGGTCGCTCTTGAACTTTACTTTTCGTGTATTGCTGGACGAGTTCTTCCTCTCGTATATGACATTCTTTCTGATTTTTACCAGACATCGAGATTCAGTCAAACGAATAAAGGACATGTCATGTGACTTACAGTTTAGAACCTATCGCGAGGCTCTCGAGCTAAATTTACCACTGCCGCATATACTTTCGAACCGGCGACATCGGTCGTGTGTTAGCGGCACGATCCCGACTTGCTTGGAACTTTTCTTCCGGCACAAAGATCTTCCGTCTCTCTCTACACATTCTTTTAAGTCTAAAGAATGTTCTTTAATTGCTCACACGAACACCAGAATAATTTTTCCAAAGACTACGCATAAACAAGGCTTTAGTTTGAACATGTCAAAGTATTTCTCGTTCTCGCTATGTGATCTATTCGCGTTCTAAAGACTGATTCTACGAAGATTAGGGTCAATCATGGACCACGAGGATGTCTAAACATATGTGAAGATGACGATGGAGAATTTATCCAGGAACTGGAAATTGTTATCAAGCATTCAATACTTATTGGTAACTTGGGATGCAATTTGCGATCCGAAGTCTAAATAATTGCAGAAATATATATAAACGAATGAAATCATTTTGATTTAATCAACATCATTATCATGAATCAGGTCAGAAATTTATTTCATCTTTCTTATCTTGAAAACATGAAATAATTTTTCCCCAATAGCATGCATTTCACATGCATCGCCCTGACCTTTACAGAACATGACATGTAATTACTTTGATTAAAATATCTCTTTGAAATTATTTGATAAATCAACATTTTGAATATTTATTGCACAATTTTTTAACCTTGAATTAATTTCAAAATTTGATAAATTCACCATTTCAAGTATATTACTCTGATTGTGAAACCAAAAAAATCTATTGGCTTTTTTGGTTTTTTATTCAACATCATGTGAATGCTATATTATAAAATTTTGTATGGGCAAATAATATAGAATGATTCATAAACAAATGAAATTTTACAGATAAATTTGAAACATATTTGCAAATTTTTGTAAATAAAATTTTCAGTTTAAAGTAGACAACATGAATTCATGTTCTTGACTAAAATTTGAAAACTGAAAATTCTCAATAATATGAAAAAAATTGCTATCACTCTTGTTATCACTTCTCAAAAATAAAAATGACTTTGTGATAATATGATTCAGCATATTAATTTACAATTGAAAATCAAAACAAGACTAAGATTTAGATAGATAGATAGATATAAAAACTTGTTAGCCATCTAAGTAAATTGAAGCATATCACCTGGTAAGAATTCCACAAACTTAATATCCAAGTTGTATGAATGAACCAAAAAATTATGATCATTAAGATAGATTCGTATATTTTTATGAGACCTATACAATTGATATAAGAATAGCACAAACAATTAAAGTTAGATTATAAAATAAAAATAGCATGGAATTATAAAAAAAATTTACAAATATAACTTCAAAGATTGCAAAATGTAATATAGTAAAGGAAATTAACACTTGACACATTGACTGAATACAAATTTTTTTCTAAACATGCTATAATATTTAAGTTTCAGTTACTCATGAACTTATCTGTCAACTCAAGAACAGAAAATCAAAAAATTAAATTAAATTAAGTAAGCTGAAAATGTTCATTGAATAATCACCATCAAAAAAATATATTTCATGAATAAATGTTGGACTCAAGATACATCACTTTTGCCACAAATTATGTGCATAAATGGTTATACGATTTTTTTATTTTGCACAAAAAATTAAACTTCCACAAGTACAAAGATAACAGTGTGAAAGAAGAAATCAAAAAATTCTAAGGACAACAAAACTTCAAAATGTGATTACAAAAATTATGAAAAATTTTTTAAAATTGTATCAAAAAGTAAGCAAAAAGTTTTTTTTAAACTTGAAGATATTATGTTAATACAAGAATTTTCAAAGATATATGTAAAACTCAATTTAAACTTCACATTGATTTTTTATAACCATCAATGTAATATTTATTAAAGAAAATAAAATTTCTGAAAAAATGTTATTGTGCAACAATAAAATATATGTAGAAAAATTTGAATTTTTTTTCTAAAAAGCAATACACATTCTCATTTCAAAATTTTAACAGAATAATTAAATTTAAGTAATCATATTAAATATTTTTTTATCATAAATAAATAAGAAATTGAACTGTAATATTCCATATGTCATAATTTCAATTGAAAAGGATAATCCGTTAGTTAATTTTTTTATTATATACAACTTTCATATCTAGTTCATTAGATTTTGACAAAAAAACTATTTTCATTATAATCTTTTAAAAAATTTTAAAATTCTTACATTTCTCATTTCACAAAAAAAGAGTTTATTGGAAATATTTTTAAATAAATCAATGAATTTGATTTTTAGATTGTGCAATATATATGATTCAAAATAGAATTTATTTGAAATATTTCATGAGTTTTTTTAATCAAATAGATCCATAGATATTTCTAGAAGATTTATTCAAAAAATGTATAAATCTAATCCCATTACATGATCAAAAGTTTAATATGAAAACTAGGATTTATGCGTAACTTGGAGGTGATAACTTGATGCCACACCATCGTAACACAAATTGATTACTAAGACCCATCAAGTTTATTTTATCCAATGGTACACCACTGATGTCACACGATCCTATGTTCTAATATGAACTAACGGTGCAAGCAATTTTAATTATGTCAAGTCATATGTGTTGACAAGAGATAGATCCAGCAACATCTTGTCGCTAGTGTTGTTGGATATCTTTAAAGCATGCAATCTCATGGCAGATAGTCATCTTGAACCTTACAAGAGTTTTCATACCAAGAAGAAAATCAAGAGGTACAAGCAATGTGGACTAACTCCGCAAGACTGCTTGCATTGATGCATGCAGTCTTGAGGATCCGTATTTGTGAATGATAAATGCAAGCGTGCTTGCTCAAGATTCACTGCTAGTCCAAAATGTGCAAGAAAAGTTAGTTCAATATCAAACTATCAAGTGCTTCAATCCAAGGTGAGATCAAACTTTCGGTTAGAAAAAAAAAGTCAATATAAAATTTAAGTCCAACACCGACATGCCCCATTTATCAAGTTGAGAGACGTCATGAAGAGCATGATTTGTAGCCTTCACGTCTTTATCTTGTGATTTTTTCACTTGATCTCAAACTCTCAACTTTGTCACCAAGCTGACTAAGAAAAGTTATTTAAATCATTCGCTTCCGTAACGGCTTTTTTCATAAGATCAGTTTCAAAATTTTAAAGTCTATAAACCATCAAACTAAAATTTGCATCATACATGTACAGGAACAGACAATAGTGTGCTGTTGGTGGGTTCCCATCTAGTAAACAAAACTTGATGGATCTGAGTAAGTAATTTGTGTTACCATGGTATGTCATCAAGTAACTTCCTCCATAATTTGATTTTACATGAAAAATAGATGTATTAGATTCACATGACATTTTTGATCAAGTTAAATATATCAAAATTTTGATAATACAAATATGATAATGTGAGGTTAATTGAAATTTGCTTGTTTTAAAAGAAATAAATCATGAATTTTTCTATGAAATCATTTTTATATAAAAAATATTTTATCAATAGAATATAAATAATTCCAAATAATATATATACATTTTTTTATTGCTACATTTTTATCATGACATTGTTGATTTTTGATTATAAATATATATATGAAAGAGTTTTTATAAATACTTCGTTGTATATCTAGAAAAGTTATAGGTGACGATGGCATTTTCATATACTTAATTAGACAAATTTTTATTTTTTGAAATAACAAAGATAACGTTTAAAATTCTGTTGACCAGATTTATTTAATTGAAAAAAAAGGTGTT